TCTCTATCAGTGCATGGACACCATCAGAAAAGACAGTAAGACCACCCATTCCTGATCCAACAAGCACCCCAGCCCGCGATTTATCAAGCTGTAAGCAAAGCAAAACCAACCAGTTTAGAAAGTCATGTACAGAGTTCAGAGAACAAAATCAACACTTTAAAGATGCCAACAATTCCTCTATGCATGACCCACAAATAGCAAAGCACTAAGACCCCAGATCCACAGTTTCTAACAGAACCTATTACTTAGGTACACGAAATTAAAACCAAATCAATCTCAAAGATAACCCATTTAGTACATTCTACCAAAAACCCATCAAGCTCATAAGCATACATAAACAATTAAACGCATGCAAATCAAAGAAAGCAATGACCTTTGAGCGCTTATCGCCACCAAGATCAGCATCCTCTAGAGCTTTCTTCCCAGCAACAATAGAGTACCGAAGGCAATCGTCCAGTCGTCGATCGTTCTTGCCATCAATGTACCCCTCTGACGAGAACCCATGGATCTGGCCCCCGAACCGGGTCGGGAATTTAGACGCATCGAACCGGTCGATGGGACCCACGCCACTCTCTCCGGCGAGTAGCTTGTCGTAGTAAGCATTGACGTCGTTGCCGAAGACGGACACGAGGCCCATGCCGGTGATGACTACCCGCTTCTTGGGGTCCTTCTCGCGCTTCGGGGCGGACACGGCCGGGGCCGAGGAGGCGGAGATGAATGAGACGCGCCTGGAGCTGGTGGGTCTGGGAATGACACTGGGGAAATGGGGGGTCCGTTTCCGAATCGGGTCCAGCGGAGCGGGTCGGAGGGAAGAGGATTGGAGGGCCTGCATGGTGCTCGACTAATTGACTGAGATAATTGGAGGAGAGAGAGGTGACGACGCCAACGATGTTAGTGAGAGAGAGAGAGAGAGAGAGAGAGAGAGAGAGTGATCTCGTGCTTGCGTGCTGTGCGTTGTGTTGTGTTGTTGGATTGGTTTTTATTTGTAGGAAGGAAGAGGAGAGTTTGGGGGTGAAGTGCGGTGTGTGTGAAGTGGGCGTTTTGGTTTCAGCTGCCTCTGCCTGCCATATCTAAAAAGGCGCCACGTCACTGTGGGTGGGAAATGAAGAGCTGCTGCAGCTTCAAGTCTTCAACAAAGATATTTCACACCATTGATTTTCACAATTTTAAATACAAAATTCATTTTTTCTTATTCTTTCTTTTTTGTTTCTTCTCCCCTTTTAAATGAAGAAAGATATCTGTTGACAAAAAGGCCCACACAAAAAAAAAAAGTTCTTGAAGCCGCTCATACAGGAAGAGTCCACCTTAACCTTGTTGTATTTCTGCATTTATTCATGGATATTAAGTTTAAATTAACCAAATGTTACACCTAAAGTTTGATAATATTTTTTATATAATACAATTTTTTTAAGGACATTTTTATTGGGAGAGACGATAATATATTATACTCACACGCACTACACAGATATTAGGACTAAAATCCAAAACTTTTCCAAACATATTTAACTATATGAATAGATTAAGGCCGGACCAGAGTCAAGCTTTTCCTCGTTGGGCTGGACCGGTCCCATCAGCCTGTGGGCTCGCGCCCAAATGGTCCACAGTTCAAACTTCCAGACGACAAAACGCAGAGTCCGTGGCACCGTGCCCAGTTGCCCATTCGAACCCACTTACCCAGACCCGAGTGAGCAACAACAAGAAGAACAGCACCACACAGAAGTGCGAGTATGGCAAAGAAAACTAAAAATTCTCAGCAATCTCGCTCGTCTTCCTCCCCGAGGGCACCCACAGAAGCGTCAACTGGGTAATATCTTCTTCTTCCTTCTACTTCATCTGTATTTCCTTTTTCCTCACCACATGTTCATCACGGTTTAATGCCTTTTGACTTTATGGTTGCTCAATAAATGGAAAAGGAAAACTAAAGCAAGAAATAGGATTTTTTGTGTGGTTATTTTGTTTAATGGGTTGTGTTGTTGTGCATTCAATAATGTGGACAACTCACTTCTGCTCAGCCAAGAAGTTGTGTTGAGCTCAGTTGCGTGGTGGGGGTTTGTTTTGTTAGTTTAAAAGTGAGAAATTGAACATTGAGAGTTCTGTTTCTTTCAGTTTATTTTAGTTTCATTGGGTTATTATGTACCTCTCTGGCTGGTTGCTGAGAACTTTGGGTTATATAAAAGAAAGAAGAAACAGAGGTGACTAGGAGGGGAAGAAATTTGTTAGGGTTATGATTTGTGTTGTTCTAAATGTTTAGGGTTTAGGAGAGGCTAAACTCCATGGATGGTTTTTTGAGTCTAGTGTGTTTTCATGGTGTGATATTGAGGGCTGAATATGCTGTTTTGCTTCTTTTTTTCCCTAAGAGGTCGATGGTAATTGAAAGAAGTTCTTGAAAAATTTAGGCAGATGGTGTTGAAGGTCAAACAAAGTGAGGGGACAAGGAGGTCAGCAAGGTTAAGCAGCAGTGAGGGGAAGAGAGCCATTTCAGTACAGAAGTCCAAAACCAAGCAGAAGAAAAAAAGTGCAAAACTTGATGCCAAGATTCCCAAGAAACCACCAACTGCTTTCTTCTATTTCTTGTATGTTCCTTCTTTCGTTCCTTTTCATGTTGTCATCTATAGTTATTAGACATGTTTCAACATGCAAAATGCATGTCTGTGGTACTTAAATTACCAACATGATGATGTTTATTGTGTGCTTGTGTTAGTTTCTGGTTGGGAATATATGAATTCATCATTTGGTGTGATTATGGTTCTGGGCTTTAGACTTTAGATTGTGGGTGCCTACTTCGATGTTATATATAGAATTGAACTCAGTAGTTTTGTAGGGTATTCGACACCATTGAAAGCACCAGCACCATATTTTTCAATAGTTTATTTTTATGGAAGTTAACAGATGTTGCAATAAAGTGGGTCTTCATTTCTATGCTGGAGTTTCTTTAGTTCGCCGTATGCAATTCATGGGCATGTTCCAATGTGTTATTGTGGGAGAATGCAGGGAGGCCAAGTTAATGGAATTGTTATCATAGATGATAAATTCAATACACTTTTTGGAAGGCCAAGTTATAAATGCATATGTTTAGTTAAGAAAATTTCAGTTAGACCTTTATTTTTTAGAGGGGGAGATTTCCAAATTCCATGTTGGGTTTTTTACTATACTTTATAATGCCTCAATGAAAACAATATTTGTGAAGCTCAGTCTGAGCAGCCTTCTCATATATGAAGAGCCATAAATCTCTGGAGATTTTAGTGTCTTAAATTGGGTTTTCTTATGTTTAAGGGAGGATTTTCGAAAAGAATTTCAAGAACAAAATCCAGGTGTCAAGTCAATGCGCGATGTAAGTTAAGATGTAGCTCATGCGGTAATCTGTTTTACTTTTTGCTTGTTTCTTATCTGTTGCTCATTCCATCGGTTCTCCTTTGTATATGAACTATATAACTACTTTCATCTTCAGATTGGAAAGGCATGTGGAGAGAAGTGGAAAACAATGGCATATGAGGTTTGTGGTCTTTGTATACTTTAGTTGACATTTTAGTTTTTTGTTTTGTTTTGTTTTTGCTCTCTCAAAATTTCTGTATTGAAGACTTGATTTCATCATTGACTGTGAAGTCAATACCAATAATAGGTGGTTTTGTCTAGGCAAAGGTTATTTACCAATAACAATTCAGTTATCTATGTTTAAGAAACCCCAATATTGTAGTGCATATTGCCAAAAATGTTTGATGATTGATCAAATATGTGTCACTCCGCACATTGTTGCGTTGCATGTTAAAGTACCTTTGTACTCCTTGCTTGATGAAATATGACTCTCTTGAAACCTTGGGGTCGATTTAACATAATGATCTGACCTGTAGTTTTGGTTCACTATGACCCAGTCACCAATGTAGACTTGTTTGATGTATGTGTAATTTTCCTTTTCACTCAAGCCATTTATTAAAGTGGATCACATCTGACTTAAATACCGTTCCACCTTAGATTCATTAGATTTACAGCCAAGTGATACTGGCTGAACCATGGAACTGTTCTTTCCTAATGCCCGTGGTTTCGGGCTTATCTTACTTGTTCCTCATCCAATGTCATGAAGCTTCAAAGGATTTTAATTTTAATTTTTTTTACTGTTTACTAGTTTCCCTAACAATGGTAATTTAGGCCAGAAATAGCTGATATCATTTCTTTATTAATTGTTTTTCTTCTTCTTCTTATATTAGGAAAAGGTTCAATATTATGATATAGCGACGGAGAAACGAGCGGAATTTGACAAGGCCATGGCAGAATATACAGAGAGAAAGGTAAACTTGCATGATCTTTGTGATTAATAAGCTGAACCTTATCTTACAAGCAATGCCCATTGTTGGTCAATTGCAATTTACTAAGCAGATTTTAAACATTTGCAGGAAAGTGGTGAGGATGAAGAAACTGAGGATGACGAAGAGGAAGATTGGTCTCCCTGAGAAATCACGTTCCCTATGGTGGAAGTAAACAAGTGTATACAATTTAAGGTCGCTGTCAATCCCTGTATCATTCTTGTCTATATTTGTTCACAATCGGAGTTAGTAGTGAGAGTGCAGATTTTAACAGTTGGTATGTACTTTATTTGAGTGAAAGATGACAAGTCAAATTGGTACTTATTAGGAACTTCTAGTTTTAACTGGCCCCAGGCAAGCGTTGGATACAATTATTGTCTAGATATGTGCTTGATTAGTAACAATCTTTGGTCATCTGCCTAGCCCAAAAAAGGTTGCTGTGGTTAGTGAGAACACTATTCATGAATGCATTTTGTTTTCACCTCTCTCTCTCTTCTTCTTCTTTCTTTTTTATGGTTTGGTTATTCTTTGGCAATAAATTTTACACACTTCCCACTCAAACGGGGAAATACTTGTCGAAAAACTGATAAAGCGCTTATTCACCATCACGCCCCGTGACTTATGCTAGCACTACTCTTCCAGTTCTTGACTACTAAAAAACAGAAAAAGTTGAAACAAATTTCGATCATGAAAGACCAAGCATAAAAGGAAAGGTAACTACTGCTCTTATTTATTTGGAAACAATCCCAACAATGTCTCTGTATACAGCACTAAAGACCTCGCTAATTTTTTGTCACCTATCCTATGAAAATTAACTTATGGATTACATTTTCAAAACTTTTCCTTCAGAAGTAGCACGCCTATCAGCCGGTGCTCCTAATGAGTTGGAGATACTCCTGACTTCTGCAATCATTGCAACCACATCATTGAGCTTGTTCACTGCAGAGCCCACACCCTGTGTTCAAGAATAATGCAAAAATTCAATATGTTAACAACAAAAACTAGCACAACAAGGCACTGATAACAGAAACCGGTTCATCGTGTACATACCACTCCAGCGGCTCCTGCTGCTATGGCCATTGGTGCTGTAACTGCACTCAGTCCCGATGAACACATGACGGGGATCTTGACAGCCCGTGATATCGAATATGCTGCTGCTAATGTTGGCGTTGCCTGAAATATGAAATATGATTATCAACTTAATGCAGACTGGAAGCTACGCTGTTCTTCTTACTCAAGTTATTATCAATGTGAACTTTCCAAATCGTCAAAGGTTTTTTTTTGGTGAAATAAGGGAAACCCCAGAAAACAACTAAACCCCACACATGAGTCGAGGCCTAGCAAGACGAAGTAAGTCATCCATCAACAGATAGCTAACCCAGACAGGAGCCTCATCAAAGAAGCAAATTCCCAAGTCCAGATTATAACTCCAGTTCGCAAAACAATCCGCAACACAATTCTTTTCCCTGTAAATGTGGACAAGGTGACAATTTCCAATTTGTCTCATGAGATCACAACAACTATGCACCAAAGCAGCAAGAGGATGGCATTGCAATGAATTGATTTGTTGAACAAGTGAGACAGCAACAGCAGCATCCATTTCAATAGCAAGGTTAGTGACACCTTTCTCAACAGCAAGCTTTAGACCAAAATATAGGCCCCAAATCGTCTAAGTTGCTTATGCTATAATGTGAAAACCTTCAATTGCAAGTTACCCTTTTATTCTGTATCCTTAATGTACAGATTTTTATGGGTTTCACTCAGTGTTACCTTCTCGACCAAACCAAGAACGCCTGATTTTGAAGGGCTAGAACATTTTCCTCCCTCTGTTTGAATGATGTCTACACCTTCTTGCTCCAGCATCTCTGCTAGCTTGACCTGTTGTTCAAAGTTTCAACTAGCTTGGTTAAACTAAATAAATGGTGCCTACATGCATATGGATATTTTCACTTTTGGCAATGTTGTTTGTGACCTGATCTGGGAGGCTTAGTGTATGAGGTACGGTGACTGATAAGGTCACAGATGGAAGAATCCTCTTCGTCTCCTTTGTTAGATTTAATATCTGAAAAGGCACTTGATAGAATTAGAAAAGAGAGTTATTTACAAACTTCTTTAACAGTTAAAGACAGCTGATAAGAATTCTTGCTCACTAAACTTTTCACAATTTGCAAGGTGAACCCTCAAATGTTTTACCTGCTCTGGAGTGAAAATCACACCCTTCTCATAAAATGAGTCATAGTTTCCAATCTCAACCTGAAAAAGGACATTGTGAATTTGTCAAACTATATATGTAGCATTCCCTTGAAAGAGAACCAGGTCACACAATAAAATTCTTGGCCTGAAAGGGATTAGTTTACAGTCGAACCATCAGTGCTCCTGCTTCAACAGCAGCTGGAAATGCCGCTGGATCGACAGAAGAAACGCAAACCGGAAGAGAAGTTAAACCGATGGCAAGCTTCACCAACTCCGGGTCACAAGCTATATCCACATGAGTTGCTCCTCCCTACCGGTTCAACGACACATGACATAATGACCAAAAAGTTCAACATTAGGTTGAAACTTCAATGAAATTTGACACCAGAAAGCATATAAAAGAAGATAGTTTGCAATAGGGAAAGCGATATGCTAACAGGTCTAACAAATTTTGATCACTTGGCTCAACAACAAAATATTTTAATTGCAGAGTTCATTATTAGTTCATCAAACCTGCTCTGCCGCAGTAATGACTGAGGCAACATTTTCTTTGTCAAAATTCTGCAAACCTGAAATAATCTGTAAGGGAAAGCTACATTAGAAATTCTTGGATATCAGGATTCAGGGCACAGATATTAAATTGCAGAAAGACCATTAAACAGAATCATCTGTTTTGGTTGAGTAAGGCTTTAGGACAGAGATGACAAAACATTAAAGTAAAATTGAAACAATGGTTTTATCAAACAACCAAACAAAGCACAAGGTGATGCTAAAGGTTACATAATGGCAACTGGGTTTGCTTTACCTTGAGAGCTCTGCGTTCATGGAAGTCCTTCAAGACTGATTCCTTGGAAGTTGATAGAAGTGCTTTGGTGGTCAAAGAGGCTCTTTTTTTGAGAGGCAAGCATGGTCTTGAAGACAGAGAGTGACCCAGAAGAGGGTTGTGGATAGGTCTCAAACTGGAGAGAGAGGATGGTGAAGTTTGTATGCAGATTGAGGCTTGCATCTCCACTCTAGCTGAGGTTCAGAAGTTGGGAAGTTGGAGGGAAAGAGATAAGAGGACCTGGCAGTGGCAGCTATAAAATGTTTCAGAGGAAGATAATTTTGCTGCCACCTCACCCTAAATACTATCATATGAATCTATGATATGGTTTATTTTATTTTATTTTATTTTAGCCTAATTTCTGACTCAAGATTGAGACAAGTGAAAAGCTCATGTGTTCTATTTTGACAAACCAAACAGAGGATCCGCGTCCCATAGAATAATGCTAACAACACCAAATTTAAGTGCCAATGTTTACCGACCAACACTGTATAATTTGGTAAATGATTTTTCCACTCCCCTTTTATCCATCTACACTCTTTTTTTAAAGAAAAATAGAGTATAAGTGGATAAAAATGGAGTGGGAAAATCAGTACCCTATAATTTTTGTCAAGAAAATCTGAAGGTGCATAGAATTTATACATAAATATGAATAAAATCGGAATTGACGTCACATTGCAACAAACCCAAAACCATTTTATTTTATTTTTCTTGAATAGCAATTGCACACCTCTTCAAAACGCACAGCAGGAGCCATCTCTCTCCACATTTGCCACTTTGCCAAAGAACACAAACAAGAATTTTCAGCCCAGATAGGACTATAAGCCCATCTGCCATGGAGGTAAATCACGCGGCTTACTGGGTTCAAGTCAACAACTTGCCATTGCTTTTCAACTTTTTGGATCTGATTAGTGATCTACTAAGAACATGAAGAGAAAGGTTAGGCTTTTGCTTCATCTATGTCCTCAATACCTTGTTCTAATACTCCTGCATATTTGCATTATTGGTCAGCAGGGTTTCTGTTATTGGTTTTGCTTAAATTAAGCTAAATGCCACTGGATTTGTTGATGATCTATATTGGGGCAAAAACACAAAAGAACAAGAAAATAGCTTTTCCCATTTGGAAGTTGTAACAGGTGAAAAGCTTCAATCTTTATGCAGGAGATCTTTCTAGGCCAGCCATGTTAGGAAATTTAGGCCTCATGGATGGAGGCAATGCCATTATATTTTCCTATTGTTAGTCTAAAGCATCCAAATCTCAAAACCCAGAATTTGTTTAAATGACAGAACCAATGTTCTGAATTAATATGCAGAAAAAGAAGCCAGAATTATGCAAAAAAGTTAAATTGAGAATTAACTTTGTACATAAACTTAAGCACAAATGACAGAACCACTGTGCTGAATTAGCTTAATCCCTCCTACCCAAAATCCCACCCCACATTTGACGTATCCTCCCAATCCCAATCCCAAAACCCAAGATTGTTTCATTCTCTTGAGAGAGATTTTTAAGGAAGACTTGATGAAACCCAATGGCTGAACCACCCATAATCCAACAACTTTCTCTGTCAATTTGTACCCTTGTTGCAAGCAACTTAGAGAAAACCACCAAACAACTAAATAAAAGAGAGTCCGAGAGAAACAAAGAGACACCAAAGCCTCAAAACTTGCATCCGCAGAAAAGGTAGAAGAAACAGACGCTGAGCAGCAAAACTATAGCCTCAAACGCAGAAACAATCTTGAAAATCACATCGTCATAGAACGACAGGTGCAGATTCAGCGGCCTAAACTTGAAGGCAGACCCGAAGTACTTCCACCTCAAACTCCATGACTCTTTCTTCATCCTCTTAAAGAACAACCATCTCTTCTTGCCACCCATTTTATCTTTCAATTTCTCTCTCTAGAGAGCTCTTCCCTGCCTTCTGCTTTCTGGGTTTGGGTTGGCTTTGGTTTTAGGGGGAGGTGGTTTTATTTGGGGTGGGGAAGATTCGGTTTCTTAGGAGCAAGTACTCTAGAATATAGGGAGATGGTGGGGATTTTGGCGGGCGAGCAGGGGTGTTTCGGTAATTTTAGAGGAGTTGTGGGCCAAGTGGATGATCAACTACTCCGCGTTTTGATGGAGTCAGGAGAGTAGAAAACGTGGGGGAGTGGAATTGTTAGTTGTTCGTGTGCGACTAAAGAAAAATCCCTCATTCCATGGAATCAATGGGAAATGTAAACTCTCATATAATGAGCTGTTTCTTGGTGGCTTCCTTGTTTTTTGTATTTTCTTTCTATCCTTTTGCTCTTGATCAAATCATCAAAAAACACACAAAAACAACAACAAGAACAAAAATGTACCTGTTATTTGGCCATGTTAGCTCCTTTTCGGTTAAGAAAAGTGCTAACGCATCACGTTTTCAAATCACATTACTCCTTCGTTATAAGTGTAAGCAAACAGGAAGGATACGATGTCCTCAATGTAAAAATTGAAAAACAAAACGCATATTGTAGAATGAAGTTGAAAGAGAAAACAATTATACAAAAATGTAAAAATTGAAAAACAAAACGCATATTGTAGAATGAAGTTGAAAGAGAAAACAATTATACAAAAAGAGAAGGCTATTTTGAGGAAACCAAAACCTCCAGATTCGTTTTCGACTGTAGAATCAAAACATCCCAACTGCTACGCTATATAAAGCATATGGGTCAATTAAACTGTTAGATGGTTTACTTTTAGTGAATGAGGTAAGAACAGCAAATTACAAAATTAACTGTGTACATGGTACGAGTAACTTAAGAAACGTGTGGACAGAGAGGAGACAAACAGAAAATTTGAGCTCATTTGAAAACTTGAAATATTATATCATCCTTGGTCGTATGTGGCAGCTGCTCTGATCAGGCCAAATGTCCAAATCCAATGGAAGCATATAATTTACGTCAATTAGTTTTGCTATTTATATATAATAAAAAAAGGAAAAGGAAAAGGCAGATAGAATATGCTACGTACTATTGCATGCATGGAACTCCATTGAGCTGAAGTGATGGGGACGGTGGAGTTAACAAAAGATATATAGTAGATAGCTATATATATTATTCTCTGGGATCTTACCGAAAGTGAAAAAGCAAGGAATTTCAAATCCATGGTATTTGAAATTCTTCATTCCCTTTTCAATGAGTTTTAACTGGATGCTACAGGCCTTTGCTGGTTTCCACAATTTAGGGAGCTCCACATGCACATGTGCCTTTGCTGGCCGGCTTGAGTCTTGCAATGCCTAGCTTGCACACCATCTGCAGCATCATTCATCCATGCCATCAGCCTGTTTAATTATATATTGATGGATGATCCATATGGCTAATCCATTTAATTTCAATCATAGGCAAGATTTTTATCAATTCTGAGTTTTATAAAATAATAATTTAATGAAATTTATTGGATGAGGCCTTTACTAAAACGGGCCGAGAGTTAATTAACATCTTATTTGCCTTGTAAGTTAAATTTAGAGAGAATGTAAAAAATAAAAAAAATAAAAAAAATCAACTCCAATTATGCTCCCTATCTAGCTCTTAAAATAAGGAGAATTCTAGAAGTTCTTAAATATGAGGACAGAGAAAGAGACTTTTATTGGCTCCTACTTATTATAACTCTATGGATCATACTTAGAAATTTTATCAAAGAGCTCCTAAATTAACATTATAGTAATTTTTTTTCAGTTAAAATAATTTAACTTTAAAATAGGAATTATGATTGGAGATACTCTAATTATATGTTTACTTAATATGAATGAGTATGAAAAGAAAGAGAATTATTCTTATTTCAGACTTCCCCATGTATACTAACACATAAAGAATAAAAAAATATGTGTAGCATCAAAAACATGTAAAGGGTTTGGTAATATTTGCTCAAAGTCATGTTTTTTGAGTTGGTCAAGTTGTCCAAATTACATTATTTTAAGCGGGGGATTGGGCTATGTTTGGTAACAAATTGACATCAAATTATCTTCAATAACTTACGTAAAACCAATAATATTCTTATCCAGATGTACATTACTAAAATTGCTTACGGCCATTAATCCCCATTAGAAGTAAAATTTATATACACGCAACCTTAACCTATACACCATATATAGCACGCATCACGTGACATCGCGTAATTATGTGCACATGTGCCCTCAAAGTTATGTATGCATCTCACACATAATTGTGGCGTTGTGCAACATGTATATGATTGTGGAGGAAACAATTAATAGACAAAGAATGCTATAGGTAGTAACCCACACGCACATAGACGATTGACCTTAGTACATCTAAGAACATACGCAACATTTCTATACCAACAAACATAAGTTCATCTTTCAACCCATTACACATATTAGGAAAATCTACCTCAGGAACAACCAAATCTACCTAACACCAACATATCATTAGCAGAAAGAGAGACATTCATGGTAGCCCTAACAAAATGAATCAAATAAGGTTTCTCACTCATTTTTAGCAACAGTCCTATCAGTCTCTATATCAGGCTCGTTTGCCAGGAGCAGCAATGAAGATGACGCCTCCATCTCACAGGCCCTGGCTTTCACCTTCTCGCGCAGCTGTTCCAGAGACTCCTTCATTTTTTGAAGATCTGCCTGGCTCAGCTCATGAACATTTGATGATTTGCTCTTGAGGGGCAAACCCTTTGCTTTCAGTATTGCCTTGTCAAGCATATGTCCCCTTTTCTTCTCAGCCTCCAACTTCTTGTTCAGGTCATCAAGTTGTTGGCTAAGCCTCTCCACTGTTTCATCATTCTTTGAATTTGAAGAACCAGCTTTTGATTTTGAGCCCTCCTGATTTAGAAACCTGTCAGCAATTGACTCCACATCTGGGTGCCCAAATGAGAAGGGCTTGCCTCCAGGGGAGAAAACAATGACACCAATCTCAGCACCACACAGAGTAGCAAGCTCATTTGCTTTCTTAAACAGACCAGTCCTTCTCTTGGAGAAGGTCACCTGCCTAGAGCTGCTATCTTTCACCATTTTCATCTCAATTTTCCTCCTCCCCATGGTGATTTTTTGATTGGAAAGTTTATGGGATTGTCGGGGGAAGTTAAGGAGTACATATATAGGGCTTGAGATTTCTTGACCCCATATAAAGGTTCAATGTTTCTAATATTGGATTGTAGCCCTTAATTCTATGTGCAATTTGCTTTTATGGAAAGCTTTTAATTCTCTTTCCTTTTATGTTTGACTACTACCAAATGCATTAAAGTTTAACACTTTTGGGTTGGCATCATTCAATGCCAATTGTTGCATCCCAGATTTTGAAATTGAATGAGGCAAAACTTGTTTGGTTTACCTATTAGGTAAGTCCTCATTTTGTAGCTATCCAATTCTTGCTCATTTGATTCAACGGGCTTTGTCTGAGAGCAAGAGCAGGAGGACCCCATGGTTTGTGATACTTTGACTAATGTGATATACTTTAAATAAATGGTAGTAATAAAGAAAATGGGATGTGATTTGTATCAATTATATAATGACCCCTAAATTGTACTAAATCTGTTAGGTCCAGGGATAGTGTGATAATGCATGGCCCCCTAAATTGGCAAGAGAAAAGTCCAATGAATATGGTTACCAATTGCATATTAAGGTACCATTTTTAATTACCAAAAAAATTATATCCTTATATGCTATTTTCCTTAAATGTGATTTAGTTTTTGTCATTTTTTAATGGATTTCTTTCAACTAACTAGGGGCTCGTTTGGGTGTGATTCTGAATAGGCCAAAATCACTTCTAGGAAGAAGCACATTCCACGTGCTTCTCCAAAAAATCACTTTTAGTGATTTTAAGTGATTATGGGGAGAAACACCTCCCATGTGTTTTTCCATAAAATTGTTTCTCAATAAACTCACTTAAAGTGATTATATGGAAAAGTGATTATTGGCATATCCAAAATACTCCCAAATGAGCCCTAAGTACTTGATTGAGTGATATTTTTCTTCACTTTGCTAGACGAGATCTCAAGTTTGAAACTTCATTCCCCTTAAAATAAAAAAATAAAAAAAGGAGAATGTATATATCTCAGTGGTCTAATAATATGCATGAATACCAACTATCTCTCTAGTTTCATGTGTTATCACATATTTGATTTTTTTTTTTATTATAAAAAAGTTTACTATATGGAAATAAGGCATTGTGTAATTGCTATGCTATATTTAGCTTTTATATCTATGAATAAACAACACAAGTATACTTGACATTTTTTATGTAAAAATTTATTACAATGAGTACTCATTGAACATTGGATTCTTAGTGTGTCAGAACTTAGACATGTGGTCGTAGTAGTAGTGGTGGTGATACTCATGGAGGTGGGTACTAGGGTTCGGCAATGGCTCGACCCTTAAATTTTGGCCCAAGCCTATCTACACCGGTCATATTTCTTCGAGCTTGATCAGGTTAGGCAGCCCGCTCAATATAAAATATATCGGGTATGTTTAGATGGGTTGGGAAGTTAACCGAGCTTGAATTTAAACCCTTTGTTCCAAGGGTTTTTTTACTTCTGGATAAAGCCTTTGATCCAATACAAAATTGAGCATTGGCCAACCCACTTATGTCTTTGGGCCAAAAAGGGTTTTGATATGGTGAGTTTTGGCCGGCATTCTTCGGACCATGAGGTCAATTACCATCGTACTTGTGTGTATAATCTAATTGTAATAATCAATACAAGAGGTCTTAGGTTCGAATTCTCATTACATTTTAGTTGTGTGTGTGTAATAAATCATCATCCCTTTTAGTTTTTAAACTATCGCTTGTACTATAAAATAAAAAAATAAAAAAATCAATACATTTTTATTGGTCGTTAATTTGTTTGAGTGAAGTTCAAGTAGTTACATATTAAAATATATCAATTCGAACAAAAATGCAAGTAACAGTTATAATTGAACAGAAATCTTGATTCACATTTTGAATGTGTTGCATAGGCGGAACAATTGATATTGCTAATTAATAAAACTAACCCACTGTGTGTATTGTTATTACATAATCCATCCTACTTTGGAAAACTCTAGCTCTGAGGTTTTTCAAGATTAATGGCCATAGCCCGGAGGAAATGCATAAGAACCAAGCCCACTTGGATTATTATCAAAGTTGGGATTGGTTTGTTGGGCAGAAGAAGAGGAGGCACCAAAAGCATTTCTCCTCTCCTTAAGATGGTTGGTGATAGTCATGTGTAGTTCTGCCATTGAAGCATATGTTTGTTTAAGCTCATTCACATCAAGCTCATCAAGAGATGCATTCCACCAAAACTCTTGATTTTTTCCCCATGTCTTAGATATCTTTTCGAGCGACTTGTGTCGCTCCTTCAGAGCCTCTAATTGGATTAGAAGCTCATTAAAAAGTTGGATGAGATCCGCAATTCTCATCTTTCGGTGAACCTCCATAATTTGGTGAGTGTACTCGTTGTTTTCCAATGGATTTCGATTTAAAAATCGATTGATAACAACGTCAACGGACGGGTGACCAAATGAGAAAGGCTTACCAGAAGGTGAGAAAATCACAATGGCCACCTCCCCACCACATAGTGTTACCATATCGCTAGCTTTCTTGGATATCCCAGATCTTCGTTTTGAGAAAGAAACGAGAAGATCGTCTTCCTTTTCAATCCTCTTCATCTCTATCCTTTGCCTTCCTCTTGTTTTCTTTCCCTCACTGGCCATTTTTTTTGGTCTCCTTCAAAGGAAAATAAGGAATTTGGAAATAATGAAGAATTGTTGGTTTGTTTTTCCTTTCATTATTTGATGTGTTTATATAGGAATAGAAACTGCATCTTTGCTAAATTAATGCAGGTAGATATGTTTCCAAGTTGTCCTCTCTCCATGGATATTTTACACTCTTTAAATATAATTAGTCATATATTAGCATTCATTTTTCCTAAAAAACATTATTTTGCCATATCTTAATTGTCTTTTATGCCCTCATTTTTGAGTCTTTGACGAATTTGTTGTGTTGGCGCCCATCGGCCCATGGATGTCATTGGCACCATTACATCACAAGCATCTCTTTCTAAGATTAATAACTTCAGCTTGGTATTGTTCACCATATTTCTGTTGAGGCTTTCTTATCTAAAGTTTAAAATGTTTAGTATGTTGATATATTGCTTTCATCATAAACTAATGTTTTGTTTGATCACGTATATATGTTTGGTGCAAGCCAGATTTTTTTCTTAAATCCGAGCATAATATGCACATACTTTTTAGTTGATCGTTAACAAATTAATTGTTATGTTATAAGTTGGAACTTTTTGTCTCTACAAAAGATACATACATGAAAATTATGTACGTTACGTTACGTTATATGTGCCTGCACTGCACCTTTAAATTGAAGTTAATTAAAGCTACTTCATTAAAACATGACACTTTTTCTTTGCTTACAAATGATATGAACATAATATATAGTGTGCATACACTTTCTACAATCATACGAGATTCACCAAATTCAATTAATTAGCTCTTGTTATATGTGTAAACATATTATGTCAATTTATCAAGAATTCTATAGTGAGGGCTTTATATATGGCCCTTAGGTGAAGCACTATTTTTTAGCTATTGGATCAAATTAGTTAGCCGTTGGATCAAATTGATTAACCTGATTCAACGATTAAGAAATATGACACCCCTTAAAGGAGGGCCATATATAAAGCACTCACTATAAAATGACTCGTCATTTCATATTATTTGGAAACAAATGAGCCTCAATGTAGGCCCAAATTTGATAGTTTATTGGACTTCAGCCCAACACTTAAAAGAAAATGGGATTTTCAAAAGAATATAAAGTCTTGCTTTACCCACATAGTTTCTTCATTTAAAATTCAAGTGGGAAGTATCATATCAAGTATCCAAATCCCCAGCTTACTTGCTCTAACATTTAGGACATAGATTTTGCATACTGTCACATCACATCAAATGTGTAAAATAAATTTAATGAAACTTCCTCTCACACACCAACATAAACAAAAAAAAGAATTAACAAAAAAGTAATTAACATTCCACAAAAAAACTATTTTTAAGAAAAAGAGGAAAGACAGAGAGACTAGAGCCAAATTTCTGAAACTTTACCATACTAATATAAATAAAATAAATAAATAAATAAAGTAATTAACAGTCCACCAAAAATTATTTTTTAAAAGTAAATAGAAGACAAAATAGTAGAATCCTATTGGCTCACGGCTTGGGGCTGAGGAGCTTATTGGCTAAATGATTATGATTTGTACCAAGTCAAACCCGTTGGGTCAAAAAGAGATGATTTATTCGATTTTGATATTCATGGTAGAATCAAAGCCACCCGCGTGCAGGAATCAGACAAAAGACAGTATCCGTCCAAATTACGAATTTACCCTCGGTTTTTTGAGGTAGTTACCCCAGATGCCACCTTGATTTTCCTCTGTGAAGTGAAATTCGAAGGTTGTGTTTGGTTGTGGAGCAAAATCGCAAAAAAAAAATCAACCAAACAGCACACAGATCTGTCATGAAAGATACCATCAAGGAGAAGGGTCATATTCTCCGTCCGTACGCTTCTTCTCAGTTCCAGACCAAAAGCTTTTGCTTGACAAGCTCTTTGTTTTGTCTCTTTTGTAATTTTGTTTAGAGAGAGAGAAAAGGTGGGTTATTGAGGAGAGAGAGACACAGAGAGAGAGAGAGAGAAACACACAGACACAGAGAGTTAAGAGCCTTTGGAGGATGTTTGAATTGAGAGAAGGCTCTTGCTTTCCAAGGGTCTTGGTGGGTGTGAATGTGGGTCTTGCTCTCGTTGATGGCATTATAGCTGTTCTTGCATTTTGTCAGGTTTGTTTCTGCTGCTGTTTTTTATTTGATTCTTGTGCTCAGTTTTGTGTGCTCTTGCATTTTCGAATTGGGTTTTTTGGAAAGTTAGTATCTCGTTTTGTTTGGTATGATAATATCGTGGGAAAGATGGCCAATGTGCTAAAGTATGAAGCTTGAGCAATGGGATTGGTTGCACTTTGTGGGCTTGAATGTTTTGGATATGGGCTTTTTTTATTTTTATATATTTGGAATGTTTCTGAGTTTTTGAGAATTTTACTTCTCATTTGATTTTATTGTTGGTCTGTTAATTGGATTCTGTTTTGCGTAGTTAATACTGAGCTTATGGAAAGGTACTGTCTTATGCTAGTTTAAGCGCCATCTAATATAGTTATAGGATTGGC